CTTTTCCTGTGGCCCTATTTTTGCCCATCTTTTCTTCTAGTATGTTGTGTGTTGTATTGATTGGGTATGAGTTCTGGACTCCCTTCTTTGAACTTTCAGTAATAAACAATGAATTGGATTTTAGCAAGGCACAGTTACTCAAAGTTGTCAGCCTCACTGCCTTTTCTAGGGTCATCAAAGTATGTTATAATCTGTGTCCTGAGGATTCTCAAAATTACTTATCCATCCATACTGTCTTTGCCATCCTTCAGTCTCACAGCTGTGCATATTGGACATAACAAACTGGACATCCCATAGACGTCTTGAACTCAAAAGGTCCAAAACTGAAAACAATCACATCACAGATTTTAAAAAATAATTTTATTGATGTTTCCATTTTCTTACATCATCAAAATATTCCATGTGTAGTCCCACCTTCGTCTCCCATGAGAGTCGTCCCATAAGAGAAGTAGTGGGGTTTTTTATTTGTTTTTAAAGAGGAAAAATAATCAGCCCAACTGATCAATACATTGAGAAAGTCTAAAAACATATGCTATGTATAACATTTGTGGACCTCCCACTTTCACTGAGAGGTAAGTTGGGAGTATCTCCTCATATCTCTTCATTTGAGACCCACTTGATCTTTATAATTTTGTTACATTTATTTTTGATTCCTTGGTATGTAATAGTTCTTTCCATCCTTGTCTTTTGAAAATCACCTTCCTCATTCTTGCATTTTCTATACTTAAATCGTTTATTAACCAAGCATATTCTGTCCCTTATCTATGGATCATCAATACACATTATGCAGACCTCCCCCTAGTGTGAATTACATTGCCTGAACATTTCAAAAGAAGACGTTTTTCCCTGCTCCCCAAGTGAGGTACATCACAATCTTTCCCCCCTAACTGTCCCATCTTCCTGCCTTCTTTATTACTGTCCAGGGAACCACCATGCTCCCAGTCACCCTGGCTTGCAGGCCAGATGTATCACCATTGACTTGATTGTGATTTCAGACAAGGCAACAGCAAAAATAGACAGTTAAAAGAGATAAATGGAAAAACTTATGTTTTTTAAAAAGGCAAGGTAGACAGTGATTCAATTTCAGTTCTTAAAATGTGTGTGCTGAATGATATCACAGCTAAAGACTTAAAGGAAGAACTAAATGAATTACAAAGAAAAATGGATAGTAAAAGTATAATAGTGGATTACCCCAATATAGCCCTTTGAACCCTAAATAAATCTTACCAAACAATAAATAAGAAGTGATGACCTGTATACAATTTTAGAAAATTTAGAATGGGTATTCAAAAGAGTATACATAATTCTCACCTGGGTTTGAATCTTACCAAAAATTGATAATATATTTGGACACAGAGTACTCACAAATTCAGAAAACCAGAATTATTATACACATTCTTTAATGACAACAGTGAAAGCAATATTTTTAATGGGCCAATGAAAAAAGAGATTAAAGTCCAACGGAGGCTGAATAACTATTTTCACTGCCTGGTCTCCATGCCTGGAATTCTTCCTGTCTTCATCCTGGCTTCCCTGGAGTCCTTCAAGTCCCAGCTAAAGTTCCAACTTCTCCGAGAAGCCTTTTCCAATCCTCCTTAAACTTTGGGCCTTCTCTTTGAGGCCAAACTCAACTTGTACTACATATATTTTGTTTTTGGAGAGTTGTTTATATAGTTTCCTACTGGAGTGTGAGTTTCTTGAGGGCAAAGACTGTGTTTTCCTGCCTTGTTTGGTATCAACAGCACTTAGTAAAGTGCTAAAAGCACAAGTCAAAAAGAAAAATAATAGCAATTAAATACCAAAATAGAAATGCTGAAATCAAGGAATACATTAAGAAAATGAAAGCAAAAAATTAATAAATAGATAAAAGTATGAACATTTCAGGGGGATAATCACTTGATTGCTAAATAAAACAGATAAATTGTTGGCTAATTTGATTTAAAACAAGAAAGGAGAAGGATTACCATTAACAAAAATGAAAAAGAATTTATATTAAAGAAATAAAGGATTTTTTTAGGAATTATTTTGCCCAATTATATATGAAATACATCAATCTACAATAAATATTTATAAAATATAAACTACTCAACAGAATAAGAAACAAAAAAATTTGAACAACCCAATTTCAAAGTAAGAAAGTGAACAAGGCATAAATGCCTCCTTATAGGATTAGAGTAGGAATGTGGGGATGGGGACTGCAGGATCAGATGTAGTCAAAAGTGAATTCTATCAAACATTCAAAAATAATTAGTTCCAAAATTACAGAAACAAGTTAATGGGATAAAGACTCAATATTTAAAAATATTGCTAGCAAAATTATATAGTGATGTGAAAGAAATGAGCTGTAGACCAAAACCTGACACTTTATACAAAGATAAGCTCCACATGGGTGGATGTTCTACATGTAAAAGATCACATCATGAATACATTAGAGAAATATGTAAAAAATTACCTATAAAATATGTGAATTTGAAAAAAAACTCATGACCAAGAAGGGATTGAAAGAATCATAAAAGACAAAATGGGTGATTTTGATTAAAATTCAAATTTGATTAAAAGTTTTGTACAAACAAATCTAATAAAGGTCAGTTTAAAGGGGAAACAATGGAGGAATATCTTTCTAGCCAGTTTCTTTACTAAAAATTTAGCTTCCAACATACATGAGGAACTGATTCAAATTTACTGGGATAAGAACCATTCTCCAATTTGTACGTACTGTAAGGATATGACCATCAGTTTCAGAAGGGAAAAGCCCACAGTATATATAGCCATGTGAAACAATGCTCCAAATTATTACTATTTGAAGGATGCAAATTCAAGCAATTTTAAGGCTGCATCTCACAACCATCAGATTAACAATGGTGACAAAAAACAAGGAACGTAAATAAAGTGGAGGAGTTGTAGGAAAAAGGCATATGGATGAACTTATTATTGGAGGAGCTATGAATGGGTCCAACCATTCTAAAAAGAAATTTTGGAAATATCTCCCCAAAGTTACTGAACAGTACATGCCTTTTGGCTCAGATATCCTACTACTAGGCCTACATATATACAAAAACATTTATACCACTGCTTTTGTGATGGAAAAAAAAAACAAACAAAAACCAAAAACCCAGAAACTCCAGGGTTTTCTATCAATTGGGGAATGACGGAAAAATTCCAGGATGTGTGTATAATGGAATGCTTCTGTGCTAAAAGAAATGAGGAAATAGGTAATTTAAAAGAAACGTGGGTTAATGACTGAACAAGTTGTGGTATATGGATGTATTGTGATACTGTTGTTCTATAAGAAATGATGAGCAGGTGGATTTTAGGAAAAACCTGGAAAGACTTACGTGAACTGATGTTGGGTGAAGTGAGCAGAACCAGAAGATTGTTCACAGCAACATTGTGCAATTATCAACTATGACAGACTTAGCTCTTCTCAGCAATACAACGATCGAAGACAATTCCAAAAGAATCGTGATGGAACCACATCCAGAGAGAGAACTGTGGAGTCTGAATGCAGATTGAAACATACTGATTTTACTTTTTTTGTTTTTTCTTTCTTGTTGTTTTCCCCTTTTTTTTCTGATTCCTCTTTCAGAATATGATGTGGAAATATGTTTGGCATGATTGCGCAGGTATAACTTATGTAAGATTGCTTGCTGTCTTGGGGAAGGCGGAGAAAAACTTGTAATTCAAAATCTTACAAAAATGTTGAAAACTATCTTTATGTGGAATTGAAAAAAAATACCATTGTTAAAAAAAGAAAACAATAAACAACAAAGACAAAAAAAACCCCTGTTCTCTGACTCAAAATAAATAAAATCAATAAAAGAGACATGGAAAGAATAGTATGAACTGATGCAGAGTAAAATGAACAGAGCCAGAGGAAGAACAATAAATTAATAATATTAGTTTTTTAAAAATGTAATTTTTGAAGGTGTAAGAATTCTAATCAACTGAATGACCATCCATAATTCCAGAGGACTGAGGACAAAAGACACTATGGATTTTGGGGGGGGGAAAGCAGATTTTGGTTAATTTGATAACACATCCTAGAATTTTGTGCGATAATAAAAGCACTCACTGAGATTATGAGAACAGTTAGATGGCACAGTCCACAGAGTGGGTCAGCAGGACTGAGTTCAAATTCAGCCTTAAACTTTTATTAGCTCTGTGTCTCAAGGCAAGTCATTTAACCTTGTTTAAAGCTCAGTTTCCTCACTTCTAAATTGAGCCAGAGAAGGCAATGGCAAACAACTCCAGCATCTTTGCAAAGAAAACCCCAAATGAGGTTAGGAAGAATTGAATAGGACTGAACAACAACACAGCACCTATAATTTCCTGATCCTGTTCTGTTTTCTGAAAGAAACATTCCTGTTTCTCCTGTTCCTTTCCTTTTATCCATGATCTTGCAATACCACAGTGGCAAGCTCAGCAGTCAGTCTCTCAGTTCTTTCAGAAGTAAGGGTGAAAGTAGGGGCAGCCAGGTGGAGTGGTGGACCAATCACATCCGAGGGTGAAAAAGATTTTCTTTTTAATCCCAATATAGGTTTCATCATACACAGTGTCCCCATTGTCTAAGAGGCAGTGAGTCAAAAGAACTGTTTTTTTCTAAGTCCTACTCAGTATTCCATTGTACCTTAATACAGAATGTTCTTCGATGGTCCTTTGTACTATCTTTTTCCCAAAGAGAGTTTGAACTAGTTTTGAGTTCTTTTATTAAGTTTATGCTCTAAAGGCTTTTATTAAGCTTTTAAAAAAATTATTTTCTTCCTCTGCCACCTTAAGTAAAAAAGAGAGAAAAAAACCTTACTTTTCCCTTTAACCAGTCCATTGCGCTCCACATGGTTGAAAAAAAAATCCCAGAATCAGCTAACATACTGCCCTTGGTGGTATAAGATACATTCAGCACCCTTATTAACCCCTTTCCACTAAGAGTTGGGAGGAGTATTTCATCTATCTGTTTCATGATGGAACTCTGAAATGACTCCATAGCACTTTTTCTTTTTCAGTGAACAGGATTTGCAGTTTCCAAACCAGATATGATCTACCAGATGGAAAGAAAGGAATCATCTTGGATGCCAGAGGCAGATATTCAAAGAAGCAGCTTTCCAGGTGACTACATAAAAATCAACCAGATGGGTCATTGCAAAATACTGATCTGTTGTTCACTTTAGGTCAGAACCCTTGTAAAATGTTGAAGAAAGTGGTTCATCAAGGTTTCTCAGGCCTGTTGAGAGGAGCTAAGACTTTAAAAATTTGGTTTTTTACCTCAAAAAATTACTTTTTTTTGTGTATCTCTTTACTGAAATGTACATCTACTCTCAAAGAAATTTGTTGCCTCAGTACAAGGCAGTTATTTCTATTCTATTTGTTGAAATTTTATCGTAAGCAGGTATTTTCCTACCTCAATTGCATGAATTCATTCTCCCTTTTAAAATGTGCACATTGCTTAAGGTATAAAGTAATGTACTCTTTTTGCCTCCAACTTCCTTTCTGATAATTCCTTCTGTTTTGTTTTTATGATTATGTTCCTTTGATGCTATTAATTTTTAAAATACTTAATCCTAATCTCATTCCTCTTCTTTCAGTCTGTCATGTTATATGTCATCCTATTTTTCTTTATGTTCTGAAATTATGTTTATAAAGGCATAACAACATGTTTATATGACAGGGCTTGTGTGGCCATAACTCCAGTATTGGACCTATAGGTTTTCATTACTTCGCTGTTTCACAAAAAGTTGTGAAAAATTTAGAGCATTCTTTGTTTTTGGTAACATTTTAAGGACGCAGACCTAGCAGTGGGACCATTGTGTCAAATGATATGAACAGTTTTGTACCACTAGCTAAAATTGCTGTGTTACTTTTAAGAAAAATGGCAGCAGTAGCTTAAATACCAATTTCAACATCACTGCCAAAATTTATCATTTTAAAGAAGTTTTGCTAATCTAATGGCTATTTATTGGTACTTCCTAATTGTTTTCATTTTAATTTCTTTGATTACCAGAGGTTCAGTACTGTTTCAGTCAATTAATAATTTCTCTTGTCAAAAATACCTGTATGTCTTACTCTTATGAATTTCAATCAATTCCTTGCAAAGTAGATATGTTGGATTTTTAGAGGAAATTTATGGCAACATTTTCCCCCTTATACTTCTTCTTTATTCTGTTTACTTCATGTAACTATGTCTCCTCTTTACTCTAAACCAAATTTTCCATTTTCTTTCTGTTCAGTCTTTTCCCTTCCTATTTTCACCTCAGAGGGTAAGGATATATTTGCAAGTTCTGAAAGTCATCTGTTTTGTCTTATCCCTTTCAAATGTCAGCCAATGAAAGTACGATAAGGGTTCATTTATCCCCCCTGGTAATTTTATCCCAAATGAATTCATTTACATACATTACCTTTGAGTCATCAAACTTTCACATAAGATAAATTGATCCTTAGTGAGTAGTGAAACTAGGGAGAACGCAAGAGAACAGCTCTAAAACCTTTGAACAACTAAGAACCTTGGGAAAGGGTTTTTAAAAAAAGGCCAGTTTAATCAGCTCTTTATTTTTCCTTTCAGAGAGCAGAGAATTTACTGGAGATAAACCTCCTGAATGTAATGAACGTGGGAAGGCCTTCAGGAGTAACTCACAACTTACAGTGCATCACAGAATTCGTATTGGAGATATTTTTACGAATGTAAGGAGTGTGAGAAAGCTTTTCTCTACAACTCAGAATTTGTTCATCATAAAAGAATTCATAAAAGACAGAAACCTTATGAATGTAGTGAAATGTGGACAGGCCTTCAGAAGTAAGGGATATCACACTGAGTATCAGAAAATTCATGCTGGAGACTTTCTTTATGAATGTAAGGAGTGTGGGAAGGGTTTCCTCAACAACTCAGGTCTTACTCAACATCAAAAAATTCATAGTGAAGAGAAACCTTATGAATGTTGTGAATGTATGGAGGCCTTCAGAAGTAAGACACTACTTTCTGTGCACCAGAGGATTCATACTGGAGAGATGCTTTATAAATGTAAGGTGTGTGGGGAAGCTTTTCTTTACAACTCAGAACTTATTCGCCATCAAAGAGTTCACACTGGAGAGGAACCTTATGAATGTTGTGAATGTGGGAAGGCCTTCAGGATTAAGACACAACTTACTCTGCATCAGAAAATTCATATTGGAGATATTCTTTTTGAATGGAAGGAGTGTGGGAAGGATTTCCCATATAACTCAGGACTTATTTGACACCAAACAATTCGCACTGTAGAGAAATCTTATCAGTGTACTGTATGTGGCAAGAACTTCATGAGTAAGTCACAGCTTACTGTGTATCAGAGAATTCATACTGGAGAGAAAACTTAGGAATGTAGTCAATGTCAGAAGGCTTTCAGGACAAAGACACATATTACTGTATGTTAGAAAATTCACATCGGAGACATTCTTTATAAGTGTAAGGAGTGTGGAAAGGCCATCCCCTACAGCTCATATCTTACTTGACATCAAAGTGTTCATATTGGAAAGAGACCTTATAAATGTAATAAATGTGGGAAGATCTTGAGAGTGAGGATACCATGTACTCAACACCAAAGAATTCATTCAAGAAACAAACCTTAAGAGTGTAATGCATGTAGGCAGGCCTTTGGACTGAGGACACTACTTTATGTCCATCAGAGAATTCACACTAGAGTGAGTCTTCATGAATGTAAGAAGTGTGGGAAGATTCCCCCAGCTAACTAGACTGTGATTCTGAGTCCCTAGATGCAGTTCAGAGAGTCCTTATTTAGGCTTCATGGGAAAAGAGAACTCTGACCTCTTAAGGGGCAAAGATTTAGTGTTATCCTCCCATGGACCTTCAGGGAGCGAAAGGTTATGCTGATCGAGCAGAGGTTACTGCTAGTAATATTGGGAGAGCCTTAGTATGAATTTTGATCCCGGGTAATCCTGGGCATATGATATGCAGGATGCTTGGGGATGACCTCTTGGCCAGGAGGTGAGCCTGAGCCTAATGAGCGATGAATAATTACTGACGGTGCTTGAGGAATATATCATAATCTGAGCTGTGTTCCTGATGTTGCTGGTGCTGCTTCTGCTCATAGTCATTTCGGTAGCCAGTGTGGACCATAAAGGCTTGGAATTATAACTAATAATTGATACAAATACAGGGAAGTCAATTCAACCTTGAAATGTACAACCAGTTCTTATATTCCTAAAATGACATATAATGCTAGCTAATGTTCATGAAGCCCTTTCTAATTCATGTTATACAGGATGCCCCAGAAGTCTTTGTGCCTCTAAGGGCTTTGAAAACTTGAATTGTATTATGTTTAATCTTCCTCAAACAGTAAAATCTGATGATTATGAAAACAGGAGACATCCTCCAAAGGATTTATATTATAATTAATATCAAATGATCATTTCTGCTTGGTCCAAACTATCCAAGCCCAGGTCTTACATGAAGTGTGGAGATACTGAAAGTTTTCTAGATCAATCTTATCACATAGATTCAAGACACAAAGGACACGGTCCTTAGTGCTCTCCAGTGTCAGAGAGAGCAAGTCACTATATTGGCGGCTCGACTGTAGGAATAGCCCTGAAACCTGCCTGTGTGCAGGGGCAGGGACCACCACTGCCACGCTCCTCCTCTGCCCAGACACCGCACATGGACTGAGGCAAGTGTTCCGGTGCTGGGCAGGCAGTGGACAAAGAACTCTGGTTAACAGACTGTCCTCTTTAAGTTTTTGTGACAGTACTCTCTCCTAGTTCTCCTGGCTACGTGACTGGTAAATAAATCCATTTGCTGGGATTTTCATCAATGGAACACCTGCTAGTTTGGTCCCCTTCTCCCCCTATATGATTCACTTGATGATTTCATTATGTCCTGTGCATTCAATTATGATCTGTATCATGTGATTCTCAAAATACTTATCCAGCCATAGCCTCTTTGCTTATCCTCCAGGCTCACATCTCTTATGGCCTACTAGACGTTGAATGTCCCCTAGACACTTTGACCTCAACAATTCTAAAACTGAAATCACAATCTCCCCTTTCTCTTGACTCTCACCTCTTTCTGACTTCTTGATTACTGTCCAGGGGACCTGCAGGGGATCACCCAGATTTAAACCTAAATGTTTCATCCTTGACTCTTTGCTCTTTCCCATCCCCTATATCCCATCTGTTGTGACAGCTTGTTGATTTTACCTTCATATCATCTCTCATATATTTCTCTTCTCTCTATGACATTGGCACCAACCTGGGGCAAACCATCATTACCTCATTATTGAATGATTACAGTAGATTGTTGCTTTGTGGGTGAAACTGTCATTGTTGGAACAAACCAGAACCAATACCAAACCCCAAACTCCCAAATTTTAAGAGCCAATAAGGGTTTAGTGAGTGCACCAGCAAGAGAGCCCCACCTGGTTGGCCAGAGACTCCTTGAAAGAATGAAAGGACAAAGAGTGAGAAGAAGAGTCAGAAACAACTTTCTGGGAATTTTAGAAAAAGCAGAAAAAACAATAAATGCAAGAGAGAAAATGTGGCTAACAAAGGAAACAGACATTTATTAAGTGCTTACTAGGTGCCAGGTCCTGTTCTGTATGGAGTTTGTATCTAAAATGAGCATGTCAAAAATCACAGAATCAGCATTATCCTTTAAATAGGCACTCTTTAAATTGCTCATGAAGTGTATGGGGCAGCAACTTTAAACATAAGACTGTACCTGGAAAGAGACTAGGAAAATCCTAACTTCAGAAACTTGATAATGAAGCCTTCCTCCAACCTAAGGGACTGGACCTTTAGCTCCACTGCTATAAGGTATTCTCAGATGAACAAACACCCTCTACCAGTGCAGGTCAAGACTTTCTCTGCAACTTCCCATATATTTTTAAAACTAATTTAAATTAATTTATTTTGATTTATGAACAATCACTCCCATAAGCTTTTGAGTTTTAAATTTTTCTCCTCCTCCTTCTCCACCTCCATGCCCAAGATGGCAAGCAATGTGATACAGGGTATACATATACATTCCTAGTAAACATATTTTCATATTAATCATGTTGTAAGTAAGAATTCTGGTGGAGGAACCAGCAGAAAGAGGAAACAAAACATCACAGAATTAAAAGAAAAGCAAATAGTATGCTTAGATATGCATTCAAATTCCATCATTCTTTCTTTGGATGTGGACAGCATTTTCCATCATGAGACCTTTGGAGATGTCTTAGATCCTTGTATTGCTGAGAAGAGTTAAGTCTATCAGTATTACCACATAACTGATTATGTTATTTCTCTTCTTGAGTCAAATCTGATGAGAGTGAGGTTCAAACAATGTTCATCTCCCTCCCTTCTTTCCCTCTGCTATAATAAGTTTTTCTGCCTTTTCATGTAATGCAATTTACCCTTGTCTACCTCCTCCTTTCCTTTTCTCTTAGTACATTTTCTTAGTCATACCAGATTAATCCACTTAGTAGGATCCATTTAACTCACTTGGATTAGATTTTTTTTTAATCATTACATCCAAGTCAAGTAATACCCACCCCCTGTATGTATTCCCCTTTAACAGGGTGTAATAACAACACAGTTCTCAAGGGTTAAAACTGTCATCTTCCCTTGTAGGGATGTGAACAGTTTGCCCTTATTAATAACATGTTGTTTCTTTATGTCCTGTTTACCTTTTTATATCTCTCTTGAGTCTTGTATTTGAAGATCAGATTTTCTGTTGAGCTGCAACTTCTCATGTTAGAGAGTTGCCTGTGGGACCGAGTGGTTCAGTGTTGTGCCTTAGATCAAGGAGCAGGTGTGTATCAGAGGTTGAACTTTAACCCAGGCCTTCCTGTCTCTTAGACCCCTCTGCTGCCTTTGGAGAAAGTGATAGCAATTAAGAAAAAAAAAACAAAGTATCAATAACACATTTAAAAATAAAATACATAAAAAAACAAAAACATGAGGACAGTGAATAATTTTGTTACCTTCTTAAATGTAAAAACTGGAATAAGAGTTTATGGCTTTATCCACCACCCTCTTTTTTGTATTCTTTATGAATCAGAATGTTTCTGCTTGTGGAGTGATGAGTTCATAATTTTTACACTGAAGAAGGAGGAAGAGGCAGAGAAGAGGAATGCAGCAGCTCTAGTCTGTAAAGGAAAGCAGTCCACCTCAGAGAAGGGATGGAACAGAGAGAGATGCTATGGAGCGTGATCACACACATATTATTATGCGCAATTCCCAGCCAAGCTGTGGATAAGGAAGGGGGTGCAGTACATTCATGCCTGACTCTGTGTGTGTGTGTGTGTGTGTGTGTCTTTTGGAGATGGAGGTAAGACATATTCAGATATAGCCAAAAAATAAAACAAAAGTAAAGACTTAGCTCTCAGGGAATTGATTATTTCAAAGAAGTACTTTTGGAAGCTCATCACCTCTATAAGAAGTTGCTTATACCACTACTTTATTCTTTCTTCTTGCGAGAACACTACAAAGTGGGGCAAGTAGATGGTGCAGTGGGTAGAGAGCACTAGCCCTGGATTCAGGAAGACCTGAGTTCAAATCTAGCCTCAGACATACTTAACATTCACTGTGCACAGTGATTCAGCCCTGAACAAAAACCTCCTGGTGACATCTGGCTGCCTTAGCACAGGGGCACAGCTGCTTAATCTTAGGTCAGAGCAGTGACTGCTGTCTTGTCAGGACTGAGCTCTGTTGTCCCCACCCCCACCCCCACTGCCTCACTCATCCCAGGCCCCACATCATTCACACTTTACATTCTCCCAACAAAGGCAGGGCAGAGAGCTGATAATAATCCTCCTAGAGATTTGGGGAATGTGGGAAGGACATAAACAAGTTGGATAATTAATATTAATTTTGCAAATACATCCAAAATTCTTCATTCTATCCCTCATGTATACATTGGGGAAGCAAAACTGTGAGTTTTACGAAGAATGACAAAATGTTGGCTCATTTTAATCCAAGCCTTACACCCTTCAGGTAAATCAGGCAGCTAGGTGGCAGCCAGAAGTCAGGTAGAATCCTTTTTTTGAGTTTTTACACCCTTCAAACACTTATTGGCTTTGTGACCCTGGGCAAGTCACAGAACTTGGTCTGCTTCATTTTCTTTACCCATAAAATGAGATCAGATCGAGAAAGAAATGGCAAACCACTCCAGTATCCCAGCTAAGAATACCCTAAACGGGGTCACAAAAGGGTCAGACACGACTGAAATGACTGAACAACAACCAACCTTGCATCCATGTCCTCATTTATTCACAGTCATTCAGGGTAAGTCACCAAGCATTTTTAATCACCTTCTGTGTGCCAGACACTGTGCTAAGTGGTGCAGGTACAAAGACAGGGAAAATCAACCTCTGCTCTCAAGGACCCAGTCAGTGGGAGACAACAAAAGGCACCCAGCTATGTACAAACATTATGTAAAAAGGACAAATTGGAGTTAGTCAACAAAAGGTCTGTTCTAGGATTAAGGGGATGGGGGGGAAGTTCTTGCTGAATGGAGATGCGATTTTAGGTGGTACCTGAAGGAAGACTGGCATGCCAGGAGATGAGCAGGAGAAAGGAGAGAGTTCCAGGCAAGGGGGAAAACGGGTAGAAATGCTGAGAGTCAGGAAATACGTTGTTGGTGTGTTAAAGTAGTGCAGAAAGACTACAAAGGTATTAGGCAGCCAGGTTAGGAAGAGTTTAGGAAACCTAATAGGACTTTATATTTGATTCTGGAATAGAAAACCACTAGAATTTCTTGAATAGAGAACTGATATGAAGAGACCTTAAATAGAGCAGAATCAGTTGAACAGCTGAGAGTGAGATGGACTGGATCAGGGACAAAGTTATTGCAGGGAGATCCATGAGAAGGCTTTTTTTTGGGGGGGGTTGGTGAGGGCAATTGGTGTCAAGTGACTTGCCCAGTACAGGCCAGCTGTAATGATTTTGATAGTAATGCAGTCCATCATCTTCAGCCTCTACAGTGATGACTGGGAGAGTATAGTCTGTCCGAGACCCACTGCCACTGAACCAGGCAGGGACTCCAGAATGCAGGATGGCAGCACCATAGATAAGGAGATTGGGAGGCTGTCTTGGTGGCTGATAGCAGCAGGCTAAATTATTGCTTGTCAATATTCTCTTGTCAAGATATTCGTAGACACCCTGTTTTCCAGGGCTAAGGCCAAGCAAGTAAGCTGTGTCCTGAGCTTGGCATAACAATGATCCTCTGTCCTCACCATCTGGGTGAGCTCACCCCTGGCAAAATCATATAATTACGACGTTGCTTTGACCAGGTATTCTGTGAGCTCAGAAAAGCACCAGAGAAGTACCCATGTTCTGGTGATGAAGTCCTATTATGAATCAAACTTGTCCCATTGTTGCTGTTACTTCTCCCAGACCTGAGCTCAAATCCAAGTTCAGACACTTGCTAGCTGTGGGACCCTGGGCAAGTCACTTCACCCTAGTTTACACATGTACAAAATAGGGTCTTTAACAGCACCTGCTTCGCAGGGATTTTGTGAAGACCAGATGAGATAGTCATTATAAGGTAGTTAGCTGTGCTTGGAACACAGTAAGCACCAAGTAAATGTTAGCTCTGAGTTTTATTGAGCCCATCTAGCAGACCACTGGCATTCCCCAGGCCCAGCCAAACACTCTCCACGTCTCCTGGTTTCCCTCGGGTCAGTCTCCTTGGCAGAGGAAACAGACACAAAGCCAGCACGGTCTTGCCCCGGCGGGCGCCCCCTTAACCTCTCCTGCTGCCCCGGGCCCACTCGTGTCCTGCTCCTCCTGGATGCCCCAGGGGGCTGAGCAAGCTCTTCTGGAATCCATGGCCTGCCTGTGGTTTCCCTGAGAACCGTGCCTTCCCTGCCTGTTTGCGTCACTTCCTGCGACAAGACACTGGTGCACAGGAAGCACTTCATTAGAGTCGCGGCCTGTTGTGACTGGCTGCAAGAGTGGGAGAGACTGGGCTGGACGACGCGCGGAGGAGCCCTCCGGGGCTGTGAAGACAATGCACGAGGTAAGGGAACGAGCGGAGGGGGCGGGGTAATGGCAGGAAGGGCCGGGGAGGGGCGGGGCAGGCAGGGAAGCAGGACAGCATTCCAGGACGGGGAGGGGCCGAGCCCCAGCAATGCGCAGGATGCGCCTCACCCTTCAGACTACGATTCCCAGAAGGCCGTGCGCCCCTCAGGGGCATTTCCCCAACCTCTACAGCGAGAGGATTGTACTTCCTTCTTACTACGACACTTCCACTTCCTTTTCTCTCCGTCTCTTCCACTCTCGCTGGTTCCCGTTTTCTTTTCTCTATCCTGGGCTGAAGTGAGAGGGGTCGAGCGGGGTCCGAGAGCTGGGCCAGGCCCAGGAGGAGCTGGCTGTGGAGGTGCGGCGGGGTCGAAGCACCGGGGGCTGTCCGGGGGAGCACCCGGAGAATGGGAGCGTCCGGCAGAGGAGGAAGGAATCTCCCGAGGAACTCCCAGGGGTTTGGGGTTAGCCGGTTCGTGGGGGCGGGCTGTGTTGGAGGCCGACCAGGCGGAAGCGGAGCCTGGGGTTGGATCCTGATTCTCCTTCAGTCACGTCCCCAGCTCCCTGCCCTTCTCCCCGCAGTGGAGAAGTGGGAACGTCTGGTCTGATCAGGGCAGACCCCTGCGTAACCCCTCAGTCTCCTGCTTCTCTTTTCCTCCCCAGCTCTCCCTTCTGTGGCCGCTGCTCTGTCCAGGAGGACAACCTGGAGGAAGAGGGAATGGCGCCTGCCCTCACAGCCGGGCCCCGGAAGGTGAGTGCCACTTGCTGCTTTCCTGAAACAGCATCTCAGACCAGAGACCGTGGGATAAGTTTCTTTGTCCTGTTCTGTAACAATAGGAATTGTGGCCATCAGAGAATCATAGCCACAGACACCACTGCATCCTCTCCAGACTGGAAAAAAAAAAAGACCTTACAATAACTTTTTTTTGTTATTTTTTAATTTTGAGTTCTAAATCCTTTCCCACCTTCCAGCCTTCCCCCACCCTTTCAGAAGGGACAAATAGGATAGCTATTATGCATGTAAGGAAATGCAAAACAGTTCTATATTAACCCTGGTTCAAAAAAAAAAGTAAGAAAAATGAAAGTGAAAAAGAATCTGCTTCAGTCCTCACTCAAAGTTCATCAATTCTCTCCGTTTTTTATAATGCGTCCTTTAAATTTTTCCTGGGTCATTGAATTCATCAGGGTGGCTGAGTCTTTCACAGTTGATCATTACTGCTGCTACTGTGCTGTCTTCCTATTTCTTCTCACTTTTCACATTTATTGGTGTTATTTATAATTCATGGCATAAAACAAGCATTTTCATACCATGGAATAAAAACAAATTACATATGAAATTGCAAATCTGTTATATTCAACTTGTTATTACTTTAAAATGTATAACAAGGTTACCAAGTGAATTTCTTTTGTTTTCTTTATTTCTCCCTCCCCCGCACCATGGCTACCATGAGACACAAGTAGGAACACAAGTAGGAACGTGTGTGTTTGTGTGTATGCCTGTACATATATATTTGTATGTAAAATTACTGTATACATCCTTTAAATTTACAGTTCTTTCTCTGGATGCAGATAATGTCTTCATATGTCCTTCATAGTTAATTTAGGTATTTATTGTAATCAAAATAACTTATTCATTCAAATTCGTTCTTAAAACAATATTGCTGTTAGTATATATAATGTTCCCTGGGTTCTGTGTAAGTCTTTCTAATTTCATTGAGCTTGGCGTTTCTTACATTACACTAAAAATTCATCATAATCATATACCACAACTTTTTTAGCCGTTCCCCAATTATTGGGCATCCCTACCATTTCCAGTTCTTTGCCAGCAGAAAGACAGCTGCTTTAAACATTTGAGAACATATAGGTCCTTTGTTTTTCCCTAATCATCTTTGGAAATGGATCTAGTATTGATATTGCTAGATCAGTGAGTATAGATAGTTTAATAGCTTTTTGGGCAAAATTCCAGGTGGCTTTCCAAAATAGTTGGATCACTTGACAATTCCACCAAGAATGAATTAGTGTCCAAATTTTTCCACATCCCCTCCCGATATTTGTTGCTTTCCCTGTCTATCATTTCAGCCTGATAGGCATTAAATGATATCCCAAGGTTGTTTGAATTTTCATTTCTCTAATCAATTATGATTTAGAGCAATTTTTTCACATGAGTATAAATTGTTTTGATTCCTTTGTTACAAAACTGCCTGTTCCTATCCTTTGGCCACTTATCAATTAAGGAATGATTTGTATTACAGATTTCACAAAGTTCTTTATATATTTTAGATTATAAGACCTTTATCTGAGAACCGTGTAGAGAATAATTTTTGCATTTTTTTGCTTTCCCTCCGCTCTTGGCAACATTTGTTTCATTTATACAAAGCCCTTTTAATTTAATGTAAGCTGGAGCCACGATGGTGGTGTAAAATGGGCAGGGACTCCCTTGAGCCCCTCCCTTCCTCCAAATGCCTTTAATAATTATTCTAAACAAATTCTGGAGGAGTGGAAGCCAGAAAAAGAGTGAAACAATTTTCCCACACAGGACAACTTAGAAGGTTGTCAGGAAAGGTTTGTTGCACCAAGGTGAGAGAGTAGTACAGTCCTACACAGCTTGTACTGTGTAATCAGGGCCGAGCAAACTGCAAGCAGGCCTTGGGGTGACTGAATTACTTGCAGCAGTGGTGGTTTCCAGACCTCTCAGCCTAGAGATGCCAAAAACAACTTAGAGGTCAGCAGGAAGTGTCTGTTGTACCTTGGTGGGAGTGGGCGCAGGCTGAGTGAGTACAGCCCCATTCTGACCATAGAAAATTATTGTGGTGACAAGGTAGGTCAAAACACACGCTCAGAAGAAAACAATGTCAAAGCTCCCACTTCCAAAGCCTACAAGAAAAATACTAATTGGTATCAGGCCATGAAAGAGCTTAAAAAAGATTTTGAAAATCAAGTAGAGGAGAAATGAGAGTGAAGCAAGAAACTCACGAACAATGAATTAACAGCTTGGTAAATGAAACACAAAACAATGTTGAAGAAAATAACTCCATAAAAAACAGCATAGGGCTAATGGAAAAAGACAGGAAAATTCACAGAAAAAATAAAGTTTCATTTAAATTTTTCTCTCTTCCCTCCCAACTCTAGAGATGGCTACCATTAGATACAAATGTCTCTCTGTGTGTGTGTGTGTGTGTGTGTGTGTGTGTGTGTGTGTATATGTGTATGTAAAATAATTCTATACACAGATATTCTTTTTGGGAGAGGAATTTTTAAGTGCCTGCTATATATCAGACACTCTGCTGGGATGCAAATAAATAAATGAAACAATCATTGATAGCAAGTGAAAGATGAAATGGCTAAAGAAACAAAGGTTCAATCTTTTGGGCATATCAGTATATTAAGCAGTGCATGGCAATTGGCACAGAAAACTGGGACCAGGCCCCTTCCTTATCTTAGATGTGGATCCTGAATAGGGCAAGACATACTTTTATAAATTAAAAACAATCAAGAGCAATTAATTAAAAGCAAAAAATAAAATGTTAGGTAATCTGATTTCCAATTGGAGAAGCGACTGGGAACTTTTCATGTTGGGAGGGGGAAAGGCAACAGGTTCAGTTCCCTCCATTCAGAATGAGGTGTCCCACTCCCCAAAAATAGTATACAATGAAGGGAACATGGGAACAATGATTAATTGCTAAGTATGGGTCCAGTTTTCAGATAAGACATGTGGGTTGCTTCAGATGTATAATTGTGAGAAAACTTATGTTAATCTTTTTGCATTTGACTGGGTTTTTGATCAGCGTAGCCTAGGGCCTTAAGGACTAAACATCAGGTAGAGTATCAGCCGTGCAAGACTAAGTTCAAACAAGGCAGTAAGGTTTTCTCCCAATTCCCACAATTGAATAAATTTTTCTCACAAGACGGAAGTTGGACTAAACCTATAATTGAACAGAAAAAGAACTGAGCTACCTCAGAAATGAGTCACAAAATGGAGTCAATGTGATTGATTCAATTGCCTCAATTCCCTGTACCACTAACTGTCCTAAAACCCTCAATTACTTCACCTTAATGGCAAGTAGTTTATATTTGAACTTCAAAACAGTTAAGAACTGTAGCTGGGTAAGTGCAAATGTTTTTGATATTTCAGGAATCAGTGACGTTCAAGGATGTGGCTGTGGAATTCACCCAGGAAGAGTGGGTACAATTGAACCCATCTCAGAAAAAGCTGTACAGGGATGTGATGCTGGAGAACTATAAGAACTTAGTCTCTTTGGGTAAGAACAGTTACCTCTTTGGAGTCTTGATATATACTATGAGAACAAAATTTTAACAGTTATTCTTTGGCCTACAAAAGGAAACTCTTCCTAATACTTTTGTAACCAAGAGACAGATTACTTGTGCTTCCTGTTTCAAGGAAAAAGGTCCAAGCTTAGTATGCCTGGAAATTGATTTCTTGATTTGTTGTTATCCTTGAAAATGTGTCTTCCCTCCTCTGTTACCTCAAATCCAAGATATTCATTTTAATCCCAATGTAGGGGTTCATCACGCAATGTTCCCACTGCCTAGCAGTCAGTAAGTCAAATGAACTATTTTTTCCCAAGTCCTACTCAGTAATCCATTGTACCATAATATGGAGTATCCTTCCAGTGGTCTTTTCTACTATCCTTGAGGTCTTCCTAGCATGCCTCCTTATTTTCCAAAGAGAGTTTGAACTCATTTTAAATTCTTTTATTAAGTTTTGTGGATACTTTTTGAAAAAAGGTTTAATTTCTCCTTCCTCTGCCACCTAAAAAAAAAAAACAAAAAGAAAGAAAAAATCCTACTTCTCCCTCCAACCAACCCGTTAAGCTCCCCATGATTGAAGAAAAAAAAAAAACTCAGACAAAATCAGCTTACATAGTACTGTTGGTGGTATAAGATATATTCAGTACCCTTATTCCCTCACCTTTCTACTAAGGTTGGAGGGAGTATTTCATCTATCTCTTCAGTGATGGAACTCGATATGAGATGACTGCCTAGCACTTTTTCATTTTCAATGAACAGGATTTGCAGCTTCCAAACCAAATTTGATTAACCAGTTGGAAAGAAAGGAATCATCTTCGTTGCCAGAGGCAGATATTCCAAGAAACAGCTGTCCAGGTGACTACATAAAACCAAGCAGATGGGTCATTGCAAACTAGTAATCTGTTGGTTATTTTAGGTCAAAGCTGTTGAAAAACATTGAACAAAGTGATCTGTCAATGCTTCTCAGCCCTGTTGAGAGCAGTTGAGACTTTTAACTTCATTTTTTCCCCAAGAAGTTCCTTTTTTAATTTATCTCTTTACTGAAATGTACCTCCACTCTCAAAGAAAGTTGTTGGCTCAGTACAAGGCAGTTATTTCTCTTCTGTTCGTTGAAGATCATCTTACTTTTCCTGCCACAGTTGCAGGAATTCATTGTTTTAAAATAAGCACATTATTTAAGATATTAGGCAATGTGCTATTTTTGCTTGTGAGTTCTTTTCTGATATCTTCTTCTGTTTTGTGTTCATGATTATATTGCTTTCCTGCTTCTTTTAAAAATAATCCTAACCTAGTTCCTCTTTCTTCAGCCTATCATGTTATGTGTCTTCCTGCTTTTTTCTTTATTGCTTTGAAATTGCGTTTATAATGGCACATTATTATGTTCATATCACAGGACTTGTATAGCCATAACCCCGTCATTGGACCTATAGATTTTCATTAGTTTGAAATTTTTTTTTAAAGAATACTTTTTTTTAAGGCAGTGGGGTTAAGGGACTTTCCCAGTGTCACATAGTTAGTACGTGTGAATTGTTTGCTCTGAGGTCAGATTTGAACTCTGGTCCTCCTGACTTCAGGGCGAGTGCACTATCCACTGTGCCACCTACCTGCCCTGTATTATTTTGCTCTTTCGCAAAAAGCTGTTGTGAAAATTTACTCAGAGTGCTTTGTTTCTTTCAGTAACATATTGAAGGTGCAGACCTAGTACTGGGGCCATTGGGTGAAAGGGTATGAACAGTTTTGTAGCTCGGTGAAATTCCTGTCTTTTAAGAAAAATGGCAGCAGCAGCTTAATAAGTAGCTCTTTCTACATAATTCCCAAAATTTATTATTTTCAAGTATCTTGCTAACCTGAAGGCTATTTATTGCTACCTCCAAATTATTTTCATTTTTGCTTCTTTGGTTACAGTTTGAGTAATGTTTCAGGTAATTATTGTAATTTGTCTTGTCAAAAATACCATATGTCTACATCTCACAAATTTCAATCAATTCCTTACAAACTAGATATGTTAGAGGAAATTTATAGCAACAGTTATGTTTTCACCCTCATATTTCTTCTTTATTCTGTTTACTTCTTGTATCTATTTCTCTACCTCACTCTAAACTTAATTCTGCGTTTTCTTTTCAGTGTATTTTCACCTCAGAGGGTAAGGATACATCAATATTATCTGGTTTGTTTTTTTTCCAAAAGTCTTTTCCATTCAGATGTCAGCCAGGGAAAGTAGAGTAAGGGTTCGTTCATCTCCTTGGTAATTTCATCTTAGTCAATTATTTACTTGTTACCTTTGAGTCATTATACTTTCCCATAAGGTAAACGAATCTCTAGTGTAAGGCTAGTGAGACAGGCCTTCTCAAGTGAGAAGGCAAGAGAATAGCTCTAAAACCTTTGAGCAGCTAAGATCCTTGGAAAAGGGTGAAAAAGGCAGGGTTAATCAGCTCTGTATTCTTCCTTTCAGGGAGCCGAGCATTTCTGGAGGTAAGCCTTTTGAATGTAGTCAATGTGGGAAGGCCTTCAGGAGCAAGAAGCATCTTGCTGTGTGTCAGAGACTTCATCCTGGAGAGAAACCTTATGAATGTAGTGTATGTGGCAAGGCCTTCTGGAAGAAGTCACATCATACTGAGCATCAGAGACTTCATACTGGAGAGAAACCTTACAAATGTAGTAAATGTGGAAAAGCCTTTAGGATTAAGTCAGAGCTTACTGTGCATCAGAGAATTCATACTGGAGAGATACTTTATGAATGCAAGGAGTGTGGGAAGGCTTTCCACTATAATTCACATCTTACTCGACATCAAAAAATTCATATTGGAGAGAAATCTTATGAATGTAGTGAATGTGGGCGGGCCTTCAGGTTTAAGTCAGAGTTTACTGTACATCAGAGAATTCATACGGGAGAGATGCTTTATGAATGTAAGCAGTGTGGGAAGGCTTTCCCCTATAACTCAAATCTCATTGAACATCAAAAAATTCATACTGGAGACAAACCTTATGAATGTAGTGAATGTAGGAAGGCCTTCAGGAGTAAGTATCAACTTACAGTGCATCAGAGAATGCATACTGGAGAGAAACCTTATGAATGTAGTGAATGTGGGAAGACCTTCAGGAATAAAGATTATGTTACAGTGCATCAGAGAGTTCATACTGGAGAGAAACCTTATGAATGTAGTGAATGTGGGAAGGCCTTCAGGAGTAAGTCAGAGCTTACTGTGCATCAGAGAATTCATACTGGAGAGAAACCTTATGAATGTAGTGAATGTGGGAAGGCCTTCAGGAGTAAGTCAGAGCTTACTGTGCATCAGAGAATTCATACTGGAGAGAAACCTTATGAATGTAGTGAATGTGGGAAGGCCTTCAGGAGTAAGTCAGAGCTTACTGTGCATCAGAGAATTCATACTGGAGAGAAACCTTATGAATGTAGTGAATGTTTGAAGGCCTTCAGGATTAAGTCAAAGCTTACTGTGCACCAGAGAATTCATACTGGAGAGATGCTTTATGAATGCAAGGAATGGGGGAAGGCTTTCTACTCTAATTCATATCTTACTCGACATCAAAAAATTCATACTGGAGAGAAACATTATGAATGTAGTGAATGTGGGAAAGCCTTCAAGAGTAAGTCACAGCTTACTGTGCATCAAAGTATTCATACTGGAGAGAAGCCTTATGAATGTAGTGAATGTGGAAAGGCCTTCAGGATTAAGAAAAAACTTACATTGCATCAGAGTATTCATACTGGAGAGAAACCTTATGAATGTAGTGAATGTAGGAAGGCCTTCAGGAGTAAGTATCAACTTACAGTGCACCAGAGAGTTCACACTGGAGAGAAACCTTATGAATGTAGAGAATGTGGAAAGGCCTTCTACAATAAGCAAAATCACACTGTGCATCTGAGAATTCATACTAGAGAGAAACCTTATGAATGTAGTGAATGTGGGAAAGCCTTCAAGAGTAAGTCACAGGTTACTGTGCATCAAAGTATTCATACTGGAGAGAAGCCTTATGAATGTAGTGAATGTGGAAAGGCCTTCAGGATTAAGAAAAAACTTACATTGCATCAGAGTATTCATACTGGAGAGAAACCTTATGAATGTAGTGAATGTAGGAAGGCCTTCAGGAGTAAGTATCAACTTACACTGCACCAGAGAGTTCACACTGGAGAGAAACCTTATGAATGTAGAGAATGTGGAAAGGCCTTCTACAATAAGCGAAATCACACTGTGCATCTGAGAATTCATACTAGAGAGAAACCTTATGAATGTAGTGAATGTGGAAAGGTCTTCAGCAGGAAGCCAAATCTTACTGTGCATCAAAGTATTCATACTGGAGAGAAGCCTTATGAATGTAGTGAATGTGGAAAGGCCTTCAGGATTAAGAAAAAACTTACATTGCATCAGAGTATTCATACTGGAGAGAAACCTTATGAATGTAGTGAATGTAGGAAGGCCTTCAGGAGTAAGTATGAACTTACAGTGCACCAGAGAGTTCACACTGGAGAGAAACCTTATGAATGTAGAGAATGTGGAAAGGCCTTCTACAATAAGCAAAAGCACACTGTGCATCTGAGAATTCATACTAGAGAGAAACCTTATGAATGTAGTGAATGTGGAAAGGCCTTCAGGGGTAAGTCAGATATGACTCGTCATCAGAAAATTCATAGTGGAGAGAAGCCTTATGAATGTAGTGAATGTGGGAAGACCTTCAGGAATAAAGGTTATGTTACAGTGCATCAGAGAGTTCATACTGGAGAGAAACCTTATGAATGTAGTGAATGTGGAAAGGCCTTCAGGGGTAAGTCAGATATGACTCGTCATCAGAAAATTCATAGTGGAGAGAAGCCTTATGAATGTAGTGAATGTGGGAACGCCTTCAGGAGTAGGTCAGTGCTTACTGTACATCAGAGAATTCATACTGGAGAGAAACCATATGAATGTAGTGAATGTGGGAAGGCCTTCAGGAGAAAGTCAGAACTTAATGTGCATCACAGAATTCATACTGGAGAGAAACCTTATGAATGTAATGAATGTGGAAAGGCCTTCAGGATTAAGAGAAAACTTACAATGCATCAGAGAGTTCACACTGGAGAGAAACCTTATGAATGCGGTCAATGTCAGAAGGCTTTCAAGAGAAAGGCATATATTACTGTGCATCAGAAAATTCATTCTTGAGACATTGTTTATGAATGTAAAGAGTGTGGGAAGGCTTTCCTCTACAGCTCAGATCTTACTCAACATAATAATATTCATGCTGGAGAGAAACCCAATGAATGTAATGAGTGTGGGAAGACTTTCAGAGTGAAGATACAGCTTACTCAACACCAAAAAATTCACTCAGGAGAGAAACCTTAAATGTGTAATGCATGCAGGAAGGCTAGACTGAGGGCACTAATTTATGTCCATCAGAGAATTTATAAGATTCCTCTTGAATGTAAGGATTGTGGGAAGGCCTTCCATTGCAACTCAGATGTTATTAAACATCAAAAATTGATGCTGGAACAAAAATCTTATATATGTAGTGAAAGTGAGAGGGCTTTCAGAAAGAAGGTACACCTTACTGTTCATCACAATTCATATTGGAGAAATTCTCTGAATATGAGTAGTGTAGGAAGCCCTTCTCTCACAAGTCAGACCTTACTCAACTTCAAATCATACCTTATGAATGTAATGTATATGGAAAGGCTTTGCACTTGAGTGTAGATCTTACTCAACATCAGAGCATTCATACTGGAGAAAGATCTTATGAATGCAGTGAATGTGAGAAGACCTTCAGGCTGAAAACACAACTTGCTCAACATCAAAGAATTAATTCTGCAGGGAAACCTTTTGAATTTGGGAAAGTCTTTAGACACAGGACCTACTTGATGTCCATCAGAGAATTCATGCTAGAGTGATTCTTCATGAATATTAGGAGTGTGGGAAGATTCCCTCAGCTGACTAGACTGTGATTCTGAGTCCCTAGATATAGTTCAGAGAATCTTTACTTAGGGTGCATGGGAGAAGAAGATATTCCTCCTCTCTGCAGAGACTTGTAAAGGGGCAAAGATTTAGTGTTATCCTTCCATGGGTGTTCAGGGAGGGAGAGGTTATGCTGGCTGAGTCAGGGGTTACCGAGTGGATAGTGTTATTGGGAGAGCCTTAGTACTAACTTTGATCCCTGGGAATATGGTGTGCAAGATGCTTGGGGATGACCTCTTGGCCATCAGATGAGCCTGAGCCTAATGAGTGATGAATAATTGTTGACAGTGCTTGAGGAATAAAGCATAATCTGATAAATCAAAATGAGCTTTGTTCCTGATTTTGCTGGTGCTGCTTCTGCTCATGTTAATTTGGGTAGCCAGTGTGGACCATAAAGACTTGGAATCATTTTAATTAGAACAAAGCATGGGCCTGTGGCAAATTTTGATGCAATGTGATTTCTGCCCAGTGCTCTGCATGTCAAAGGAAAGAAATTCATTGAAATGCAGGTAACCAGCAGGATTTACTGTGACTTCCTTATGGTCATCAAATGCCTTCTCATCCAGTTGGTGACACACATGAAAAGATAAATAAGATTCCCATTATCATTAGGGAATATAAACAAGGAGTTTTCAATGAAGAAATCAAAGCTATCAACAATAATGGAAAAGTGCTCTAAATTACTAAATCTATTAGAGAAATGCAGATGAAAATAACTTTGAGGTAATACTTCACACTACCTCAAACTGGCCAACATGACAGAAAAGGAAAATGACAAATTCTGGAGGGGATGTGAAAAATAGGTACAACATGCACAATTCAGAACTGGTCCAAGCATACTGGAGAACAGTTTGGAACTGTGCTGAAAGCATTATAAAGCTGTACATACCCTTTGACACAGCAATAACACGGCTAGGTCTGTATTCCACACACATGAAAGAAAAAGGACTTATATGTACAAAAATATTTATAGTGGGCCTTTTTGTGGTGGCAAAGAATTGGAAATTGAGGGGATGATCATCAGTTCCTGAATGGATGCAGAGGTGATTGTATGAGTGTGATAGAATGTTGTGCTTTAAGAAATGAGGGACGTGGGTTGGCAAAACCTGGGAAGACCTATGTGAATAGATGCAGAGTTAAGCAAGCAGAGCCAGGAGCTCCTTGTATAGAGTAACAGCAACATTTTAATGGTAATTACATGATCAGCTTTGAATGACTTAGTTACTCTGATCAAGAAAATCATCTAAGACCATTCCAGAAGATTCATGATAAAAAAAGAAAAATTGCTGTCTACCTCCAGAGAGAATGGATAAACTTAGTATGAACTGAAGTATATTTTTTTACTTTTTAATTTTCTTGCTTTTTTATGACATGGCTAACATGGCTAAAACATAGAAACATGTTTTGTGTGATTTCACATGTATAACTGATATATTCCTTGTCTTCTCAATCACTGAGGAAGAATTTAGAACTCAATGCAAAAAGGAATTTTTAAATAATATTTTTTTAAATGATGAGGGAAAAGAATTTGAGTGAGTAGAGTCAGAAACAACTTTCTAGGAATTTGAGAAAAAGCAGGGAAAACAATAAATGCAAGGGAGAAAATGTGGCTAACAAAAGAAACAGGCATTTATTAAGGGGTTGCTAGGTAGCAGGTCCTGTTCTGTATGGAGTTTGTATCCAAAATCAGCATGTCAAAAATTACAGAGTCAGAATTATCCTTCAAATAGGCACTCTTTAAACTCTTCATAAAGTGCATGGGGTACTAGCTTTCAACATAGAACTGTACCTGGAAAGAGACTAGGAAAATCCTACCTTCAGAAGCTTGATAATGAAGCCTTCCTCCCAGCTTGTCAGACAGCTGATGGACCAGATGTTTGGAATAAGTCACATTTACAGTCATGGTGAATATCTTCATTTTTCTTGCTTATACTTAACCTTTTTCAGTGGGGTTGGGGGCAGGGTTCAAATTAGGAGACAGTGTGTGTTGATGGAAATTGGTAGGAAGAGAGAACTGGACCTTTAGTTCCATTGCTATAAGGTATTCTCAGATGAACAAACACTCTGTACCAGTGCAGGTCAAGACTTTCTCTGCAACTTCTTATCTTTTTTTTTTATTTTCATTTCTCAACAATCACTTCCATAAGCTTTTGATTTTTAAATTTTTTTCCTCCTCCCTCCCCATCTCCTTCTGTCAGAGGGCTAGCAGTGTGACATAGGTTACACGTATACATTCCCATTAAACATATTTGCACGTTAGCCATGTTGTAAGAATTAGAATGAATAGGAGGAATCACCAGAAAGAGGAAAAAAAAGTACAGAAAAAAGAAAGCAAATAATATGCTTAGATATGCATTCAAATTCCATAGTTCTTTCTTTGGATGTGGACAGCATTTTCCATCATGAGGCCTTTGAAGATGTCTTAGATCCTTGTAGTACTGAGAAGGGTTAAGTCAATCAATATTAGTAACTGATAATGTTATTTCTCTTCTTGAGCCAAATCTGATGAGAGTAAGGTTCAAACAGTGCTTGTCTACCTCCCTTCTTTCCCTCTGCTGTAATAGGTTTTGTGCCTTTTCCTGTAATGCAATTTACCCTTGTCTGCCTCCTCCTTTCCTTTTCTCTCAGTACATTTCTGAGATCAGATTAATCTACTTACCTGGATCCATTTAACCCACTTGATTACATTTTTATCATTACCTCAAAGTCAACTTATACCCACCCCCTGTATGTATTCCCCTTTAACGTGGTGTAATAACAATACAGTTTTCAAGGGTTAAAACTGTCATCTTCCCTTGTAGGGATGTAAACAGTTTGCCCTTAATAATAACATGTTGTTTCTTTATGTCCCGTTTACCTTTTTATGTCTCTCTTGAGTCTTGTATTTGAAGATCAGATTTTCTGTTGAGCTGCAACTTCTTATCTTAGAGAGTTGCCTGTGGGACCAGTGTTATGCCTTAGATCAAAGAGCAGGTGTGTATCAGAGGTTGAACTTTAACCCAGACCTTCCTATCTCTCAGACCCCCTCTCTAGACACTATGTGATGCTGCCTTTGGAGAAAGTGATAGCAATTAAGAGGAAAAAAAAGAGCAAAGTATCAATAACACATTTAAAAATAAAATACATAAAAAGCATGAGGACAGTGAATAATTTTAATGTTACCTTCTTAATTGTAATACTATAAAAAAAGAACTGCATGGAATAAGAATTTATGGCTTTATCCGTCACCCTCTTTTTTGTATTCTTTGTGAATCAATGTTTTTGCTTGTGGAGTGTTGGGTTCATAATTTTTACAATGAAGAAGGAGAAAGAGGCAGAGAAGAGGGATGCAACAGCTCTGGTCTGTAAAGGAAAGCAATCTGCCTCAGAGAAGGAAAGGAACAGAGAGAGGTGCTATGGAGACTGATCATATACATTTTATTATGCACAGTTCCCAGCAAGCTATGGTTAAGGAATGGGTGATATATATTCATGTATGAGTGTGTGTGTGGGTGTGTGTGTGTGTGTGTCTTTTGGAGGTGGAGGTAAGACATATTCAGATATAACCAAATAATAAAAGAAAAGTAAAGATTTAGCTGTCAGAGAATTGATTATTTCAAAGAAACACTCTTGGAAGCTCATCACCTGTGTCTGTAAGCAAGAAGTTGCTCATACCACTACTTTATTCTTTCTTCTTGCAAGAAGACTACAAAGAGGGGCAAGTAGATGGTGTAGTGGATAGAGCACCAGGCCTTGATTCAGGAAGAGCTGAGTTCAAATCTTACCTCAGACACTTGACATTAGCTGTGTGACCCTAGGCAAGTCACTTCACCCCATTGCCTCAAAAAAAAAAAAGAATATAAAGGAAAATGATTGTGAATAATAGTAATACTTACTAGTATTTACCTAACATTTTAAATTTTGCTAAGCACTGCATAAACATTGTCTCATTTGTTCCTAATAAGAACCCCATGATGTAGGTACTATTATTAGCTCCATTTTACAGAACAGGAAACTGAGGCAGATAGAGGTTAAGTGACTTCTCCAAGGTCAGACAGTTAATGTCTCTGGCCAGATTTAAAATCAGGTCTTCATGACACCAGTTCCGGAGCCCTGTCCACTGTACCACCAAGCTGCTGTTATTAGTTCATAGATTTAGAGCTGCAACTGACCTGAGAGGTCATGAACTTCTGCCTTCTCATTTTCCAGATGAGGATTGAGGGGCTTATGGAGTCTAAGTTCTTATGGAAAGCCACACTAGTGATGCCCAATGTAAGGTGGAAACTGAGGCTTACGCCCTGGGTGTCACTCTGAACCCCTAACTCCTGCCTCT